TATGGATCCAGTAAACGTATGCCGCAGCCTCTCAATCATCCATCTACCAAGTCACGCGGGGTTCTACTGTGCGGAGATGTGGTTCCGATCCTGAAGCGCAATGGAGCAAGAGGTTCTGCAAGTGTCTGGGTTATGGAGAAGCGAGGTGGCTTAATCTGGGTAATTGAGGATATCCAAGAGGACGTCGCGTATATCCGTTGCGACAAGTCCTGGAATATTACAGAGGCCGATGGGGATACCGACAGATTCTGGGGCCGGGACGTGGTCATGCTCGGCAAACCGATCACAGACATTCTTCCTCGTCTTCCTAAAGAGTGTTTAGAAGGCCCGGTTGACCAAGGTTTGGCGAAGCTTTGTGAGTTAAAGCATTTCGCTGCGCAGACCACTGCGGGGACTTGTTTCCCAGTCACAGTTGCAAAAGACACAAGCTCGAATAGTTTGCGGATATCAAGCTTTCCACATGTTGCCGGCATGATGGTGCTTGCATCGTCGACACTGAAAGTAATCAGTTCGAACTCAGCTTTTTCTGCAGCTTTGTTTGGCCATGAGCGACCGGAGGGACTACATGTTAACGAGCTGATCCCCGGGTTTGATGAGTACTTGAACGTGCTTACTGAGGAAGAGAATGTATCTCTAGAGGATGGAATTGTGATCCCTGAACCTAGCTTCCGAAGGGCACGAACCCTCTCAATCCTTCGGGAAGGGAAAACCAACGTTGCCTCAGTCTTTCTCGAACCTAATGGCCTCACTGCCAATCATCGTGATGGCTCGACGATTACTGTTGATGTTCAGCTACGCGTGGTCAAGAGCGGAACGATCTTCCCAAAGCAGGACAAGAAAAGTCCGACTAATGACAGCGATGCCGACTCCGAGAATGATGACACTTTCGCCGTAGCTGAATTAGTATATGCACTATGGGTCACGTACTCGAGACAGATCCATGCCGCGGGTCTCTCTTCTCCACCTCGGACCGAGCCCCCTCGGGTGAGAAGCCCCTCAGTTGTTCCGGCATCCAGCCTACGGTCGGCAAAGACTCCCCATTTATCACCCTTGAACACGGAGCAGACGTCCGTGGAGACCCGAATACCGACGTCGACATTGAGCCAGCAGCTTAGTGAGGCGGCATCAGAACCGCTCACTGACAAACCTGTCCAGCCTGTTCCAGAGGTAAAGCCTGTGAATGCAAAGGAGCCTCCCAAGAAAAGGACAATTACCGACTATGTGATCATTGAGGAGATGGGCCAAGGGGCATATGGGGAAGTGAAACTTGCCCGTCTGAAGAAGAATGCCACCAAGAAGGTGGTATTGAAGTATGTCACGAAGAAGAGGATTCTTGTGGATACTTGGACTCGCGACCGCCGCCTAGGTACGGTCCCGCTAGAAATCCATGTCCTGGATTACCTTCGGCGGGATGGTTTCAAGCACCCCAATATTGTGGAAATGGAAGGGTTTTTCGAGGATGATATCAATTATTATATCGAGATGATGCCACATGGGCTCCCTGGTATGGATCTCTTTGACTACATTGAGTTGAAAGCGAACATGGACGAATCCGAGTGCAGAAACATCTTCCGGCAGGTTGTCGATGCTATCCACCACCTTCATACGAAAGCCATGGTTGTTCACCGTGACATCAAGGATGAAAATGTGATTCTCGATGGGGAAGGCAGGATCAAGCTGATCGATTTCGGAAGTGCCGCTTACATTAAAAATGGGCCGTTTGATGTCTTTGTGGGGACGATTGGTGAGTCACTCTCAATGGGTTCTCCCGCAAAATTATGCTGATCTTTAGCAGACTATGCGGCGCCGGAAGTCCTACAAGGCAAATCCTACCGAGGTAAAGAGCAAGATATCTGGGCTCTTGGTATTCTTCTTTATACAATTGTTTACAAGGAAAACCCATTCTATAACGTTGATGAGATTCTGGACCACCCACTTCGAATCCCATTCTTGCCGTTTTCGGAGGATTGCATTGACTTGATCAGGCGGATGCTCGACCGAGACGTCGACAACCGTCTCACCATCACCGAAGTTATAGAGCATCCATGGATGACTGACAGCGAATAGAACCATTTTGATACCTAAGGGCCACGCATGATACGTGGCATGCGATTTGGCCATGAACATGGAGGGAAACCTCAAAAAGATTATATATGAGGGTGTTCTCCGAGAGCACGGCGATCATTTACTTTCCATTCGTCTTTACTTTTTCTCGTATGCCTTTTAAGCCATCAGCTAATATACATGACGGAAAGCGTGCCAATGATTTGAATGTGATAGCTCTTATGACCAGATATGATAGAGGCAGGAGCCCGGGAGGCTGCATGATACATGATATCTTGGAAAGATGAAGTACATGGATGATATGGTGGAGACCGTCCGCTACAAACAAGCAACAATACAGAGAGAAGAAGAATACAAAGAGAGAAAGAGCAAAGTGAAGAAATTAACTATAGAGGCAAAAAGGAGGCTGAGATACCCCCCATATCAGAATTGAGTTTTACTTGGCTAGATATGAAGTTGATAAAATCCCTCCAATCTGCAATGATTCCATGTTAAGCCACTATTGCAAACGGAGTACTCCGTAGGTTTTGGGCAAGTACACCGGTAGAGCATTCATTCTCTTGTATATGGACCAGGGTCTGTGTAAGCCGCGAGGCCCAACCACTCCTGTTGACCCATGTCACCAACCCCCAAAGTTAAAAGTTAGTTACACATGCACTAACTGTCATACGCGAAATGAAACGTCCTTCCCCCAATTTCCACAAGGAACAATACAAAACAGAACAAAACAAAAACAAGATAATAATAATAATAAAATAATAATAATAGAATGGAAATTTCACCACCATTCCGAAAGTGCGGGGTGTTAAAAAAGCGGGGGAATAACTGCTCGTAATCAGCCCCGGACGCCATGTATAAAGAAACATTGACTACTACCTTAGTTTACCACGTTACTTGACGGAGTTTATTAATCGTTCCGGCCAAGTTACTCTTTTCAATAAGCTCCCATCCAGTCATTTCTGTGGTGGATATTGGGCTGGAGAACGGACCACTTTTTAAGGTGTTTAGTTCTTCGATGGTCGAATGTGTCCTCGCTCCCTTGCTTCCTTGGCAAACTGCTGGTGTCCTCGTGCATATTAGGCAGTTATTGTGAGGAATATCGTTATGAGGAGGTGTGTACTCCGTACTAGGGTAAGGTAAGGGGGGTGGAGTGAGAATTATGGGGTTTCTTTTTGCTTCCTTGACTGCTATTTCTGTCTCGGATGAGAATGCTACTCCGCAAGTAATGAGATAAGATAACCTAAGTAAGCTGATATGTTAGATTCTCAGTGTGACTGGGCAAAGAAAAACGACAAACAGAAAGCAAGGCCTACTCCGTACAGAGTACAGCAGGTACCCTAGTACTACTAGTAGTCGGTATCACCAACAAAATTCAAACATAAGACTTGGCAGCCAATCCATCCAACTATTTTACTATTTCTATCTATGAGTCTCCAGCCACATGTATCCCGTATTATCCAACCCAACAATGAGACAGACAGTGGTACGGACTGTGAATTCTAAATGTCTCGCATCGTTACTAGCTGAGGACGACGACCTTGGTCGGAAAGTAGGATGCAATGGGTTTGAGTCGCCGTTAGATTCCCCGCAGGGTGGCGTTGTTCTTCGCCCATGTGGGAGGCAAACAAGACCACTTCGGCCCAGGCACATACTTTTCTATACCGTACAGTACCTGAGTTGGTTTCCAATGTCCACAGACTTATTTTTTTTTTCTTTCCTCTTCTTTCCTCTATTCTTCTTTTATTATTAGTTTCTCTTTGGTCAAATTGTAGATGATGGGATATATTCCTACCGAATTACTCTGTGCTCCATGCATATTCAGAACCATGGTCACGCACCTTGTTGGAGGGCCGGACAGTTTTCCCTGTTTCCTGTCTTAGACCGTTAAGAGATTTTAAAGACACTCAAGTGTGTTGTTGACTGCTCCACTGTGGTTGATGGTATTCCGTGGCTGGGTCGTGGTCTTACTGAGGCGTTATTGGGTACGACAGTGATGGATGCTGGAGTCTGTTTTAGGGAGGAATTGTGGTTGGGTGGGTACTTCAATCACCTATTGGATCTTTGTACCTAGGTGGCCTTGGTGAGGTTTTTTTTTTTTTTTTTTTTTTTTGAATTTTTTTAATCTTGAAAATTATTATTCTTCTTTTAACCTTTTTTTTTTTTTTTTTTTTTTTTTTTTTTTTTTTTTTTTTTTTTTTTTTTTTTTTTTTTTTTTCTTTTGAACTTTCCTTCTTGTACTCTTCCATACAGCGGATTTGTTCCTGGTACGGATAGGTTAACCGGCACTCAGCAATAGTGGTAGTGCCCGAGCGCTGTCAGTTTTTAGTACATACTACTAGTAGCAGGTATGAACACGTTGGATTGTAATAGAGGGACTTTCTTGTCTTTGAGGACACGGGGTACGTGACTCCTTACCTGGGTATGTTATTATTGTTGATTTCCAGAATTACTTTTTCGTTTATACCGTCCATGTCGTATATTATATTATGTCTTAAATGTTTTGAGACAGTTCTTACTTTCTTCTTCTATAGAGTAACAATCGTGGAGGATTCCCAATCTTAAAATACAGTTTTCCTTAATCCAGTACTGTATGTAAAGGTCCCCCCACTTTGCATGGAATGGAGACGCCAAGTGGGGTAGGTCTCGGGTTATCGTTAATCGATAAGTGATCCGATAAGCCTGTGGAGGGGAGCCTGGTGGTGGCGGAGAGCAAGCAACTGTACCGAATACTGTAAAGTACGTATTCATGCATACACCTAGTCAGTCCAGAATCCCAGAAAACCGGTTGGTAATCTAAAGGGGGGCCCTTGCTTTTGACAGGTCGGGAGTGAAATGGGCTTACCACCTACGTAGAAAACCAGCAGTGGAGGTGTGGCTCAGTCGTACGGTAAAAGAACTGCCAGTAAAGTCGGCTGACCGAAGTGACATTCCGTCCGTACAAGATTTCTCGACTTATTGTCCAACTGACCAGATTCTCTCCCCCTTTTAGTTCTCTTCAAGACTCTTTGCATCACAGTTATCCGTTTTCGATTTTTTTTGGCCGTTCATTAACCGTGTGGATGATGCTCAAGTGACGTACCTATACAGACCCAGGCTTTTCTATTCCTTCAGTTCCGACGACGACGTCCGTACGCTGGGGTTTCCCGCACTGACCGAGCCCCCGGGTTACGCGGTCCAGAGGTCCCATGGTACAAGTCGTACAGATCTTAGCCGAGAAAAACCACAACGCTATCTGTCCCTTGATTCTTCCTCTTTCTTGGTGACCTTCATTCTTTCTTATTTGTGTTATACTCTGTCCCTCTCACCCTTTGCTTCACCCTACGGCCTTCATATCCGCTGGAACGGACTTTTTGGCGTTGGCATCGGGCTCACGTGCTGCCATTGCATTCAAAACAATATACTTCGGGAACCGGGCTTGGAAACCGTCACTATGATCACGATCTAAAACCCAAATCACAGGTTGTCCTTGCGCGAGTTTGCGCCCGTCGTTGATAGAATCTCATTTTTGGTCGGCTGTTTAGGTTTTGCAATTTTCGGGGCATCTTCAATCCAAGAGTGTTCGGAAAGAACTCAAAACATCTGCTGGACTGAAAGAGGCTCTGGTATTTATATACGCCATCTACACCATGGCTGCTACAAGTACCGACAGGATTACTCCTGTATCTGGAGTAGCCTTACCGGTGAGTCCGGCCTCTTCAGCAGGCCAGATACCCTTGGATCAACCTCCAAAACTCAAAGGACGACATAAATTGCTGCAAAGCCTCCAACGCATCTCATCGAGCCCCAGTCTGAAACGCGGCCGCTCCCATTCGACTGGCTACCGCCGGGATGGAAAAGCTTCATTGTCCTGTGTCTCGCTAGGACACTCCGCATATAATCCTTGCCTCGGTAACGGAAGCTCATCGCAACTCTATGGGGGATTGAATGTGCGCCCAATGACTTCTGGTCAGGCTGGCCCAGCAGAAGAACATGAGGGAAATGCTCGAATCCGTCTTGTTGGGTCCGACTCACCAAATACTGCTCAGTCAAGGTCAGTCCCTGTGCCGACCGAGCTGAGACCAGGTTCCCTTGGATCGCCGCTAGGAAGTACCGATGTAATCCAGGAAACTGCTGTCGTTCAGCCCGCATCGAAGCCCAAGAAGGCCTTTGATTTCTGGGGAAGCATGCCCGGAGAGCTCAGAATGCTGATCTTTAGCTATCTAACTCCCCGGGAAATTGTCCGCTGCGCTGTCGTCTCCAAAGCCTGGAACAAGATGTGCTTTGATGGGCAGTTGTGGGCTGCAATTGACACTACAGATTACTATCGCGATATCCCTAGTGATGGTCTCGTGAAGATCATCGCATCTGGCGGCCCATTCGTCCGGGATCTTAACCTCCGTGGTTGCGTTCAGTTGCGAGAGAAATGGAAATCTGAAGGCAAGCGCATTACCGACTTGTGCCGGAACGTTGTTAATTTCTCCCTCGAGGGCTGCCGTATCGATAAGACTTCCATGCATTATTTCCTTTTACGAAATCCTCGTTTGGAGTACATCAATGTCTCGGGATTGAGCAGTGTAACGAATTCGGCCATGAAGATCATTGCTCAATCATGCCCACAGCTTGAAATTCTGAATGTGTCTTGGTGTTCGGGCGTGAATACAAATGGGTTGAAGAGAATCATTAAGGAATGCCCGAAGTTGAAAGACCTGGGAGCCAGCGAAATTCGCGGCTTTGACGATGAGGAGTTTGCGCAGGAACTATTCAAACGAAATACCCTGGAACGCCTGATTGTCAGTCGCACTGATATTACTGATGAGTGCTTGAAGATTCTCGTGCACGGTATTGATCCCGAAATGGATGTGCTGCTCGATCGACCCATTGTACCTCCTCGGCAATTGAGACACCTAGATCTGCATCAATGTCATGATTTGACGGATAATGGAGTGAAAAGTCTCGCTTACAATGTTCCCTACCTCGAGGGCCTGCAGCTCTCTCAGTGCACCGAGCTTAGCGACGACTCTGTTATCGCTGTCATCCGTACCACGCCTCGCCTAACTCATCTTGACATTGAGGATATCGAAAGGCTCACCAATAGCACCCTCCTAGAAATCGCAAAGGCGCCGTGCGCCGAACACCTAGAACACCTTAACATTAGTTACTGTGAAGCCCTCGGTGACCCTGGAATGCTTCAAGTTATGAAGAACTGCCCTTCTCTCCGCTCTGTTGAAATGGATAACACTCGAGTTTCCGACCTTACTTTGATGGAAGCCAGCTACCGTGTCCGCAAGCGAGGTTACGGTGAAGACCTACCTCGTGTTGGTTTGCGCTTGGTTATTTTCGACTGTGCCAACGTTACTTGGGCTGGTGTAAAAGAGGTTCTTTCAAGCAATGCCTATGTTCCACGTTCTCGCAAGTCGTTACAAGCTACATCAGCTATATCAGTTGTAGCACAGGCTGTTGTACCTCACGGATCGACAGATACAAAGACACTAATTACATCTTCTATCACACCCCCACCACAGCCTTCGGTATACCCCAACGAGATCATCCAGCTCAAATGTTTCTATGGATGGCAGATGACAGTGAACGAGCATAACAAGCGAGTCCTGAGAGGGGATCTTGCTGCCGCAAACCGTCTAGATCGGAAATGGGCTGATTACATGATGGCTACGGAAGAAGCAGGTGCGGCAGGTGCTGGTGCTAGAAGAAGACGGCGTCGAGCTCGTGAAGCCGAGAGAATCTACAATGCTGACGATGAAGGTGACGACGCCTATGGTGCTGGGGGCATTTCCACCCTTGGGGGAAGACGCAGGAGAGCACACAGTGGTGGGTCCTGTCTCGTCATGTGAGGAAGTCATTTTTCGCTTTTCTTCTTCTTTTCTTTACCTAGTCTTCACGTTGAACACAAAGCATCTACAAGCGTGCTTGTAAAGATGTCTCCGTGTGTGAAAACTCATTCTTTCAGCTACGAGGTTCTGGCAACCTTGTTGAATGCGTTTGCCATTGTGCTTTCCAACTAAAATTGGCAGCCGAACAATGCTGGCAATGTGGTGAACTGAATTGCATATCTCCAGGCACAGAGTATGCTATGAGGCATGAATAAATGAATTTGCGCAAGCAGTTGGATAAGCGTGCTTATCTACGCTGGAAGTTTAGCCTATAGCGAACTTGTTTCGTACCGGCTCTCTCTCTCTCTCTCTCTCTCTCTCTCTCTTTCTCTCTCCCCCTCTCTTTCTCTCTCCCCCACACCAGCCCTTTGACATCCACGCAAGTATATTCTTGATTGGCCTGGTGTACGATTGGGGGTCAGGACATATGCTTGACGTCCTGTTTTGTAACCTACCAATCACCTCCATCCTTTGGAATATCTGTTTCTTGGTCTATTCATTAGAAGGGAATGGAGAAATTTGGAGTCTGTTGTTTAGGTTAGGGTTGATTTTAGCGGTCACTTAGATTCAAAACTTTTCTTATCAACGTCTTACTTCTATAATCATGTCCTTAATTATGATAGCGTAACTGCACTAGGTACATACAATGGACTGAGCAGGTCAGTGGCCCAGTCTTGATGTTGGGTATCGCATACAACGTAAAAAAGATGCTTTTTGAAAGACAGCTTGAAGGAGGTTAAAGACAGAATAACTGACACGGACCAACTCCTGAAAATGCACAATACCTGATACACCACTTCCTCTCCATAGCGATTACATCTCAAAGAAACCCCCGTCGCTCTCATCGCCATTGTCATCAGGTGAGCTCTGGCGTGCCCGGGTATGGCGACTATCGTTCTTGGAAGATCCTCTCGAGTCCTTCGCTTTCTTGTCCTCTCTTCCTTGCGGCTTGACGCTAGTCTTCGTGGTGTCCTTGTGCTGCGCAGAATCACGAACACTGGTCTTCTTCTTGTCCATGTTGGCTTTCTTCTTTGTTTCAGTACCAGACTCTCCGTTCTTCAATTTTCCATCGCGCAGAAGTTCGAGGGTTCCGTCCTTCATACACTTCTCCACGGTGTGCCACATAGCTGGCTTATCAGCAGCATTCGCATGAACAAGTGTATAGCCTGCATCGCCGTCTTCATCGTTGTCTCCATCCTTCGCCTGATCCTTTTTCTTCTTCGCATCAGCGTATAGAGCGACATATCTCTCCGCTAGAGGATAGTAGATGGTGTAATTCAAATTGACACGAGCGACTCGGAGCTTTTGCGCAAGAGCGGCGAGTTTCTGTTCTTTGGCTGCGGAGTCTAGATCGGAGTCTGAAACCTCCTTTTGGCGACGTTCTAGGCGCTTGACATCTTTGGAAGCGGTTTTTCGATCTGTCATTTGGTTGAAAAATTAGTTTATATAACTTTGAAAAAGAACAGTATCACGACAATAGACGCGACATACCCAAGAATCGAACAAAGTGGTATTTTTTGATCATCTTCGACCGCTCCCGTCGGTTCTCTTCCTCCTCTAGATCATTCTCGTAACCAGCGAGGGCACGCTCCTGCACAATGCGCGCATCTGCCGGGAGATCCACTCGGTTCAAAAGACGTTTGACATCGCGAATGCGTTTCTTCAATTCGTTGACGGAAGGGTACTGGTGTTCCTTTTTTGGCAGCTGGACCTTCTTTCTGTAAGGCTGGTGCGATGCTTCGTCGGAATTGTGTTTACGTTTAGGAGGGTCGCTGCGGTCCCGATAATGCCTGTCGCCAGAGGGCCGCGAGACGGGCGACTGTGATCTGGAGTGGTCTCGGGGCATTATGTGCGGTTGAGACTGAACTTTGTTTCTTTTCTTGTTGTTCCAGTGCAGTTGGACTCTTGGAGAGAAAATAATGAAACTACAAAAAAATACCGGCGGATCATCCATCGGCCCGAGTAATCTCCAGATTCCGGCGGTAGCCAATCAGGGCTGGGCTGTGTCCAATGACGCGCTTAGATTGTACCTTACGCATTAACTAACCCAGGGAACTGCGGATCTAATTGAAGGTTTCATACTACTCGTCAGAGGCTGTGCGCCGGAACTCGAATCCACTTTGCTGTTGACATTGCATTTCGCAATTGTCGCTATGCAGCCCCGTGCTTGACTTACCAGTTGCACAAGCTGGTAAGAGCATGGATCACTGCTGGGCGCTGCAGATAGGTACATCCCACTTAGATTAGTAGGTAGGCGACCAGTCAGCTAGTCGTGTCTATTCTACGACAGCCTAGGCGAACACAAAGACGAACCAAACCACAAAACAATAAATAGGAGAAGAGATGGAGACCGCGATTCGCTGGTCGCCATCGTCGACCACAGCGGAACAGCGCTTTCTCTCGGTGGATGTGGCAGGAAAGGCATTCCGCCTGTGCAAGGTGACGTCCTTCGACGGCCAAAATCTAGAACATGAGGTGCTTGCTGCTCACACCAAGGTTCCGGCATTCCGGGCCTTCGACTGGTCGCCCGCTGATGAATCGCTCGTCGCTGTCGGTCAGTCGTCCGGAGACGCCACTATTCTGCGCCTGGGCAGCGAGTCCCAGGAATCGTTCTCGTTTCCAATTCGTCACCAGCGTTACTGTAATGCTGTCGCGTTCAGCACGCACGGATTACTGGCTGCTGGCCTAGATCGCGTGCGAAATGATTTTTGCCTCAATGTCTGGGATGTCAACCAGCGGCTCGCTATGAGAGGGGGGAAGGGGGCTGTGGAGCCACTGAGAAAGCTGGCTAGTTCCGAACCGATCACCAGTGTGAAGTTCTTCAGGGATCAACCTGACACACTAGTGGCTGGTGTGAAAGGGCAGTATGTCAGAATTTACGATCTTCGAGGTGGGTTTGTTGTCTCCTATTCTACGTGCCGCTGTTGTCTAATTGGTTTGTAAAGAGGGGCCTGGAAATCCGTCGTTGCAGTTTCCGACTCGATGTGTCCATGGTTTGGCTATTGACTGGCTGGACGAGAACTACATTGCATCGTGTCTTACCTCTAATGATCCTACTATCTGTATCTGGGATCGACGTGTAGGGTCTCGATATACGACTCCTGGTGTAGGCCCAGCCAACACTCTTGAGACCGGACAGCCGGGACCTGCGCTTGAGTTCAAGAATGTCATCGCTCCCAAGTCAACCATCTGGAGTCTGCGATTCTCGAAAACAAAGAGGGGATGTCTAGGAGTTCTTGCGAATACCGGCCACTTCAAAACTTACGATGTTGTCAAAGAATACTTGTCCGAGGAATATCGCTCGTCAATGGATGAGACTTTGGGCCAAGGATCTTCGAAGAACTATCCAGAGCGGATATACACCAAGTATGTGCGGGATGTTTCTAGTCCATTCAATCATCCTACACGAGGCTATCCGGAGTCGGAAAGGATCGTATCCTTCGATTTCCTGAATATGAGTCCCTCCAATGAGCCTACTGCCTTAACGCTATCGGGCAATGGCCAGGTCAACATTATTAGGACAAAACCACCATCACCTCCTGTACGACTCTCGTCCCAAGGCTTGTTGATACGCGGGACATCTGGCGACGACGCAGATTTCCGAATGATAGGCCCTCTGCCTAGTCAAGGGCTGCGCGTTTCTGAAGTGGTTGAAGACATTCGTGAACGTATTTTACCAAGTCACGATATTCAGGACGTACCGCGTGAAAGTCATTCCACGAAGCCTTTATCTAGCCGTGAGGCTCGGGAACGTGCTCTGTCTCTAGGAGCTTCAGGCAATCCGATTAAAGCCGAGGAGGCTTTGACCTTATTGACTATCAACAGACGTCGTTGCAAAGAGGGATATTTATTTGATGCAGCCCGGAACCGGAAGATACTCGCTGATGATCCTCGCCTGCAAGGTTTCTGGAGTTGGATCGAACGTGAGTTGAATATTAGATTTTATGATACACATGCACTAATATTCTAAATAGGCAGGCGCAATGACTCATCTAATGACTCAATGATTGCAAACGGCCTAGATCTGAATTATGTGGGAGTGTATGACATTTGGAACAATGATCTAGGTGTGTATCACATTTGCTCAGGGCATGAGCTATTTTCCTACAGTAATAACTGACGTTCTGCAGGCGAAACACTTGAAACTCGGCACCTCGAACCCGATGCCAGACCTGATATCAGTAAGGTAATCGTCAATTTAGTTCAAGACCAATTGAATCTCCCTGAGACCAGGGGCTGTGAGACAGATTATCCAGAGCATCGCAGGCTCTGCCTCCGACTCTGCGGCGCAGCTCAGACTCACCGTGAATTAGAAGAACTCGTCAAAACGTTGTCAGCCGATAACCAGCATACTAAAGCAGCAGCTCTGGCTGTCTTCCAGGATGAGGCTAAATTGGCCTACTTAGCGTTGCGAAGCCACCGGCCCACTCAAGCACATAAGCTGCTTGCCATGGCCATTGCTGGTGCAGCGAAAGGTGACACTGACCCAGATTGGGAGGACACCTGCGCGGAGATTGCCAAAGAACTCACAGATCCATATGCACGAGCGATCTTGGCACTTGTGAGCAAAGGGGACTGGAACTCTGTCATCCAGGAAACCACGCTTCCATTGAAGTATCGGATTGAGGTTGCTGTGCGTTGGCTACCCGACGACGAGCTGACCGAGTATCTAAACGAAATGACCGCCGAAGCCATCTTTCAGGGAGATATTGAAGGCATCGTGCTAACAGGACTGGGGCCTTCCGCTATGGACCTTTTTCAATCATATATCAGGAAATTCAACGACGTGCAAACACCGGTCCTTGCCATGAGCCACGCCGTCCCACGTTTCATTAATAACAACCCGAATAGAGCCCGCTTTGAAGCATGGCGCGAAACGTACCGTTGGCAGATTAATTCCTGGAAGCTGCAGCTGGAACGAGCACGATTCGATGTCGGTTCCCGCAAATTCGCCGTCACCTGGGACGGTAGAAAATTGATTGAGCCACCGCGACAACAAGTCAGTCTGACTTGCAACTACTGTACCCGACCGCTTACCCAACACGATGCCTCCTCTCAGCTTTCACCATCTACCACGGGCGAGGTCGTCCACCCCACCCCGGGGAACCCTCTGGGCACGTCGGCGATGTCCGGAATGGTTTGTCCACGCTGCGGTCGGCATATGCCCCGATGCGGTGTCTGTACTTTCTGGCTGGGGTCTCCAGACCCAATGTCGAAAGCGTGCCTCGCCGCTGACGCTGGACAGCAGGCCGGAAAGCCTACCCAAGCGGAGATGATGCGAAGATTCATCGTGTTCTGTATCAATTGTAACCACGGATTCCATGCGCACCATGCCCAAGAGTGGTTCATGAAGCATAGGGTCTGCCCGGTTGCCGAATGCAACTGTATCTGTGATCGATGAAGTGCTGGTCGTTTTACCTTTCAATTTTCCATTATTTATTATCTTGTGGCATGTGCTACGGCGGAGGAAGGGTTTGGTGTTGTTTCTGATATACCCATTATGTAGAGAATTGATGTTGGTCATTTATATCATAGTGAGCAAGAGCTTTCTACTACTAGATCTAGAATAATAACCTAATCAATATAGATTATATATAATATCGCGGACTACTAGTTAATACACTCCGTAGCTTGGTTTTCTTTCTGGATGCCCCACTCTCAATTGATCGCCCGCAGATGATGTCAGAAAGAAAAATAAGAAAAACGGAACATCATCTAGAACGACTCACAACATTGCATACATGACTCACAAAGCTCCATTCACACGAATGAGTAAATAAAATCCCCGTGAGTCATGTATTCAACCATAACACCTTATTAGATACATTGAAAAAAAAAAAAAAAAAGCTAACCTTCCACATCCCAGAAACTAGCGCGCAGAAACAAAAAGAAAACAGCTCACAATTAAAACCCTCCGACACCACCTCCAACACCTATCTCCCTGGTCAAGAATCATGGGCCAACAACGCAGAGGCAAGCCCTCCGGGGGCCGTGACGTAACCGTCTCCAAAGCCCTAAGTCTCCTACTCCGACACGCCGCCGAAAAAGAAGGCCTGAAGCTGGACTCGCAAGGCTACGCGAATGTCGCAGACGTCGTACGTTACACCCTCACATCTTCCCCCCCCCCCCCCCAGCTAGTTCACCGCACCAGAAACAACAGATCTACCTCCCTTAATCTTAATCTAACCCTGGCTACAGCTCGCCTGGCGCAAACTTAAATCCCTCAAAGTCACCTTCCCCGAAATCGTCGCTGCCGTCGCAACCTCTGATAAAAAGCGCTTCGCCCTTCTACATATTCCCTCCGCCGAGGCCCAGGCCCAGCAATCTACCTCCACGGAAGCTTCTACAGAACATGGCATCCCGACGACAAGCGCGGGGCAGGATTCCGCGACGGAGACGGCCCTCGCGGTGTCCGAGTCGGACCTCGACCCGACGCATTTCTTGATCCGTGCGACCCAGGGACATAGTATTAAGAGTGTGGATGCGGCTTCATTTTTGGAGAAATTGTCGCTGAATGATGAGACTAAGTTACCTGATACTGTTGTGCATGGGACGTTTCATGCTGCTTGGCCGGCGATTCTGGCCTCTGGAGGGCTGAGGAGCATGGGCCGGAACCAGGTGCATTTTGCTACGGGGCCGTCCGTGCAGTCTGTACTTGCACAGGGGGCGCAGGAGGCAAAGGAAGTTACGGGAGATCATGGGGAGAAGGTGATCTCGGGGATGCGCCGAGATGCGCAGGTGCTTATTTATATTGATCTAAGAAGGGCGCTGGCGGCTGGGTGTCCGTTTTGGAGGAGTGAGAATGGGGTTATCTTGAGCGAGGGGTTGGTGGTGGAGGGTAGTAGTGGTGTTGTTCCAGTGGAGTTCTTTGATGTGGTTGTTGAGAGGAAGCATGGATTGGGCAAGATATGGGAGGGTGGGAAGGAAGTTCAAGCGTTGCCGGAGGAGTTGGTGAAGCAGGGGAATCCTAAGGGACGACGAAATGCGAATAAGAAGAAGGAAGATGCTGCTACACAGCCATGAATATACTCCATCAACAGCTTTGCATAGACTACTGTATATTCCACCAGGACCTTATCGGTAATGTTGCCCGTATCGATACGTCGCATAGGGTCTGGAGGGTGCGGGGAAGTCTGCCTCCCCGGACCAATCACCGCGCTTCCCTATCCGACATCCGATCGAGTTGCGGGGGATCGGATAGGCCTCGTGCGCTTTCCGATGGGCGATCATACGGTTCATTGGGCCATTCCGATGCCAGTATCCGCCATCGTCCTTCTGCAGTTGAACTTCGTTTGTTAGTTCCGCCGGATCGATCTGCGGGGTCTCGCCAGTAAAGGCCGTCCGGAAGGCGAGCATTTCAAATCATGTCGGTGAATCGACCTTGATATAAAAAGACTGTTACATTTGCTCTTTTGGATCTTATCCTGTTTTACAGTTCCTTTTCCTTTATCTACTATCCCTCTTACCCCCTCATCCTGGAAGTATACCTTGATTTAACTCAACCAGACACAGCACATATACAAAAAACTCTAGTATATCGGAAGTAACACCTACGCGAACAAGGAAAGAAGATAAAAAGAAAGGGAAAAAAAAATAAAGTCAACATGGCTACCCACCGATTTGACCCCAATTTCACTGACAATGTCGTCAACGCTATGGGCCCCAAGACCAACCCTCGGTTCCGCCAGCTCATGACCAGCCTGATCCGCCATGTCCACGACTTCGCGCGCGAGAACGAGGTCACCGTTGACGAATGGATGGCCGGCGTCCAGTTGATGAACTGGGCCGGTCAAATGAGCAACGACAAGCGAAATGAGGGACAGCTAGTTTGCGACGTGATCGGGTTGGAATCGTACGTTTCACCTATATTGATACACATTTCAGTAATTTTATCGACTACGACCACCTCTACTATATTACGAATACATGTACTGACAATGCATTTCAAGCCTCGTGGACGAAATCACTTTCAAACTCGCCGAAGAAGCCGATGACGCTCCCACCGCAACTGCTATCCTGGGTCCATTCTTCCGCGCCGACACCCCCTACCGCAAGAACGGCGATAACATCGTCCAGGGGGTCCCGGATGGTGAGATGGCTTTCATGCATGGCCGTGTTATCGATTTTACCACTAAGAAGCCATTGGTGGGCGCCACCGTGGAGGTGTGGCAGGCGGCGACGAACGGATTGTACGAGCAGCAAGATCCGAACCAGGAAGAGTTCAACCTCCGTGGAAAGTTCAAGACGGATGAGGAGGGCCGGTATTACTTCTACTGCTTGAGACCCACGCCGTATCCTGTTCCTGATGATGGTACGTTTCACTTTTTATCCCGGGTTTATGTGGTTTAAGAGAGGTTTCAATGCTGATATATGTTGAATGTAGGACCGGCAGGGAAGCTGCTCAAGCTCATGGATAGACATCCGTTCAGACCTGCTCATATCCATATTATTGTGAGTCTATCTTGCTATTTCGCTTTGCTCATATCAAGCGCCGTGGATCAAGCTAATAAGTATGTGTGTATAGGCTACCCACGACGGCTACAAGCCCCTCACCACACAGATCTTCGACCGCAAAGACCAGTACCTAACCAATGACTCTGTCTTCGCCGTCAAGGACTCTTTGATTGTGGACTTTGTGCCCCGCGAGGGTGATTCTCAAGCAGGTCTTGAGCTGAACTATGATGTGAAGTTGGTGCCGGCACAGTCGAGTAGCACCAATGGTGTATAAACAATTTTGACATTTGATTAACGAATTTTGTATATACCATTTCTTTACTTTTAGCATTCCTGAAGCTTGTTTTAGTGAATTCACGATAGGATATTTGTGATGTTATCTTGTGCTTGCCTTCCTTCTGCATGATTTCGTATGAATATATTTATTTACCCGATCTACGAGGCTAAAAAAAAGAGCTATCAACTATTCCTTAACATCCCCCCTCTCCCCCCCAAAAATTGGAGAGTAGAATATACAATCCACCAATTCCCAATCCCCAAGACATACAAGCCTTGTCCAAGAATCTATCAAAATAAGAACAATTAAATTGCCCTAAACCCCTACAAATCAAATCCCCCCAGCAAACCCTGCAATAATACCCCCGACAACCTCCGGCGCCTCAACACAATGCCAATGTCCCACCTTCTCCAGCACCTCCAATTTCTTATTCTCACTCGACACCCCATCAAAAATAACCCGACACCCTTCCAACGGCGCAGACTTATCCTCCTCCCCAGCAATGAGCAAGAATGGCACCCGCACAGCCGAATAATCAATCACCGGCGCCGAAGCAATAGCCCTACAAAGCGCCGCATAGCCCTCGGGGTTCTGCCCGAGAATCAGTTCCCGGATGAATGCCTTCGTGAGCGCGGGGCTTCCGGAGCCGGTGGCTTGGTAGGGGATGGTGTTGGCCATTGGTTCGATTCCGGCTTTGGTTGGTGTTAGTTATCCTTCTATATGTACTTGGGTGTGGGTTGGGGGGGGGGGGGGGGGAGGGAATTTCTTTGGGGGGTAGGGTAGGGTAGGGTACCTTCAGAAACAGTCTCGCTCCTCTTGTTCATCACAGATGTCAGCATCGAGGAAGGATGCGTCGGTCCAATGGCTACCACTCCGTTTATACGGTCTGCATACTGGGCTCCCAGGAGTGTGACGACTAGACCACCCATTGAGTGGCCGACGGCCACTGCTTTGGGAATGCTTAGTGCATCTAGTACGCTGATTACATCTGCGGCGATGGAGGCGATGGATATCGGTTGTCCCGTGTAGGTTGAGCGGGCAGAGCCGTAGGTGTCGATTGTTATGCAGCGATGGTGAGTGGTTAGATTGGGGAGGATAGGGAAATAGTAGTTTTGGGAGGAGCCGAGACCGTGAATGAAGATGATGGTTTGGCCTTGTTCGGGGGCGCCGTTGGGGTGTGAGTCGGCGTAGTGGAGAGTGTGGTTGTTGATGTTGAGAGAGGGCATGGTTGCTTTCTTTAAAACGTGAAGGGGTGGGGGAGGTGGTGAGGGTGAAGATATCAATCGGATGTTAGATAGTAGTAGCAGTAGAAGTAGATTACTAGGTTTTGTATGTATGACGACGTCATTGCCTGTCCCTCATTTTATTCTCATGTGGATGGATTCCTTTCTTTTGTATATCCGTCGGGATTTATGGCAGCGGAGTAAATCCGCGCTCATTTGATTTGAGCAATAAAGGGCCTAGCCGACGAGGGGCTGCTGCTCGGATAGCGGTGCGGATCAGCGCCCGTCGGGTCGGATGGGGATCATTTATAGATGTGCCGGAGTATGATGGCATCCTACAATTTCCGGACCAGAATAATATTAGCTTTAAGAGCTGTTGAATGATTAAAAAGAGCTAATTATTCGTCGGCCATCCATTAATTGCCTTGGGGATCATGCTACTGCCTATAGTATAAAAAGTTAAGGCCTAAGAAACCCACTCCGCAAGGGACAGGATGCTTTCCCCAGCCGAGACCATTTCCACTCCAGCCAAGTCCTTCTGCGGCGGGTTACTGCATCGCACCAGTCTTGCCAACTGGGATGCCAGGAGATGTTCTCGAAATTGGAGATCTAACCCTCCTACCATGTATATAGAGTGAACCGCTCCGTTGCCTCCACCTTTCTCTCCCCAGCATAGTCTCGGCCCTACCGTCTCATCTTCCATTTTCCCTGTTCTGCTTCCTTCTTTCGGCCACACACGCTTCGTCTCATAGAGAGTTTCCCACGAGAACGACCTGAATAGGCCCCCGTCCGCACTCTTCCCGTCAGCACGCCCACTCTTCCACACGAAACTGCGCCCTCCGTACTTGAACCGTCGTGGGGACCAGTCCTTGCGTTGCGCCTCTCCGTCGGGGATCTCGACAATATGGCCGGCCTGGGGCACAGTACTCGTCACTAAACGGAAAGCGCCCCCTTTCGTCTTGCGGATCTTTATGTTTACGGCGCCCATCTGAGGGAGGAACTCTCCTGCCCGGCGTAGAATAGCCTCCACAATGGGCACTTCCTGGCTCCAGACCGCCTGCAGAGCATAAAGTGTGTGCTTGTTGGCTGAGTCCTTGACAAACCACCAGTGCGATCGCACACCGAGTTCAAGTAGCTCTGACGAGTGAGAGAGCCGGTAGACCACTGTCTCCGCTGACGAGGGAAGTGTTGGCGCGAAGAACGGGATCTTAGTGGAGTTTGCCGCGTCGAGGAAAGGCTTCAGTTGAGACGGTGGCTCGGTATCAGTTGGTGTCTCCTTGCTATAGTCGTGGAGCGCCTTTCGAATCTATGTTGGCTCAAGACATCAAATCGCGAGACCTTTATACTTGTGTGCCCCGAACGACATACCTGAGACAGACTCCAAGGACGGTTATCTCCATCGTCCCTCTCCAGCTCCTGCATCAAATCCAGTACTGTGGGTGGCAAAATAATCCCCTCGTAACTACCTTTGCTCTTAAGACTCTCTAAGTAGGCAAATCGCTCGCGATGCAGCGCGACCTGCCTTTCGAACATCTTGCGATTTATTTTGCGCACATTCGACGATTTCCTGAGTTTCTCTACCGCCGCGCCAAGGACATCGATAGCGCTCTTGTGAATCTCGATTGCCTTATCATAGTTGCCTCGCCTTTCGAGGATGAAAGGACTTACAGATAGTTTGTATATCTCATTTTTGATGTCCTCAGATGTGGCCATTGTCGTCGAGAGCAGGACGGCTGTACGATGACTTCTAGCAATTGGCCTGGAAAAAACGTCGAGCCGGATGTGAATCTCTTTATTTCCTTGCTTTTATGGGATTGAACTTCTTAAATATGCCCTATGACTAGAATGGCCCCGTCCACAGAAGCTGCAGACAAGACCTTTGTTGCTCGCTACAAATCTCCCAATGGATCAAAACTGCCTTGTCGGGCGACGTTGAGGCCCGGGTTCTCTTCGCAATGCATCCACAGCTTCCACCCAACCATGTACCCCACGGGAGGGTGCAGAACGAAAGCCGCTGACAGGATCCTGGTTTTCGGGGCGTCTGGGGAAGCGAGGCAATCGCTTAGCTTTTCCGTTTTGGTGGCAAGCTCTTGGCGATGTCGACCAGCCATGTTCCCAATTTGTAATTCAAGTGATAAAAATATTGGCCAAGACCCCGGACTCGAGGTCATGCAGATTGGCCCGGTGACTGTGTTCAAAGATAGCGTGTATCCGCTCCGTCACTTCGTGAGGAATCTGCCTTGGGAAGCTTATGAATCTGCTGTTAGAAGAGAACTGACGCCACGCTTGGCAACCGCGCCCTTGTTTCTCTGGGCAATTTTCTCTCTCGCGATGCCTGGTTGTTTCAAATTATGATGGTGATGGCCCCTTGATGCGGCTACACTTTTGCCTTCGCGTGCCTGGCATTCTTTATTGGAGTTCGACATTCAGAGATCAACTAGCTTGAATTTAGGTCTAAATCTATAGTCCAGGACCTAGACTAGATTATAAAACCTAACGTAAAACTTAACCTAGAAGATTAGATTTAGTTCTAGACTCTGAGTTATAGCACAGTCTAGCATAGAATAATACCAGTCATAGCAAGCCTTAGAATAAGCTTCCATCCCGTGCAAGAGTCGAACCATAATAACCAATATCGTAGTATTGCTGAATTAGCTCTCAGGTAGCATGAATTGAAAGTAAGAAGTAGACAGGTAGTTGTAATCGGGTCTCAGGCACAATCTCTCCAATATCACTGCAGGGCTAGTCGAATGGATTGGCCAACATTTCACCCTCTTCAGAGGTCGCGATATCTATGTTCTTGCTACCAAAATTCCAAGATATCGGGACACGAAATACAATGATCTAGTTAGTATAGAACAACTATACGTAGATCCCCGGCGGTAGCAATGAAAGGAAGTATTGCAGAAACAGGGCTAAGCCAAATAGGATGCCATAGATCGCACCTATTGCCCATGAAGTAGACGCCAGTCACAAGGGCGGAGCCATAGCCATGTGTATGGCATGCATTTAGCTCCAGTGCTGAGTGTATTAGGGCATCGCCCATAATCACTCTCGCACTGCCTCGGGTTACCCCGCAGATATTCAGTGCACGTATGCTGATGCTGTTCATGTCACGCTTCTAGTTGCTCATAAAGCAACAAGCAGCGCTAAGCGGGGCCGACGCGTAGGACAAACTGCAGTGGAAAAGAATACAATGTCCCTTATACTCACATAAGCCATACAATAATCTGCACTAATTGTGTCTCTATCCTCATCCTGTATCAAGCCGGAGCAATTCCTGTTCGAATTCCTCGTCGGTATCGAATTCATCAGCGAATTCTTCCAGCAAGATAGCTGTATCATCTCGGAAGGACTCCCCTGCTGGTAGGCTAATCGGGACTGGTGGGGCTACTTGATCTTTGTGCGCCTTTTTCTCTGGCTCTGCCTGGATAGTGCCCTGTGAGACCGCGACAGTTTCAGCTTCCTTGATGACGTCTTCGTCGTAGAAGATAGAGCAGTCGGAAAACTCGTCGTCATCTCTCTCTCCACAATTGACCTCTTCGAGCTCCGTAGCTTCACCGATACTAATTTCTAGACTGACAGCTTCATTGTCGTCGGGTTCGTCATTCTCCGAGTTCGAGTCCTCACTAGTATCCACTTCCGTGCTTATAATATCTGGCTCCGTATCTTCACATGTTGTCTCTTGCTCCGCAGGGGCTTGAGGACCCTTCTTAAGAAAGTTAAATAACGACGGTTGGCTCGACGGAACGGTGGGTGCATTAGGATCGGGTATACCGAGTCGTCGTCGTTCTTCGCGAGCCTTCAATTCTTTCTCGGCCTTCTTTTTCTTGTTGGCTATGCGCTTCTTCTCCTTTTCCCGAAGCTTCTGGGCTTTGCGCTCCCGTTCTTCATCCCGTTCTATTCGCGCGATCTGAGACGCCGTGAACTTTAGGCGTTTATTGCTGCGTTGGTATCGACGGCGGACGGTTCGCGATTTCTCTAGGACGATACGTTTCGGCGATGCAGGCATCTTGGCCTGGGGCGGAAATAGAGGTATATACTAGGAGTTACGTCCCTTGAGACCGGCGAAATATAGGCAGACATTGGAGATGCTCATGGAGTATTCTGGTAAAGAAAGAAACAAAAGACCCTTTTGTTGTTGATCATGTTGTTAAGGTCCGTAAACGGAAGCTGTAGGTCGTCTTGCCGACGGCATTAAGTTGTGCCGAAACGGGCGGTTTATCTTAGACCAAATTCACGACCCTGCGATAAATCTTGTCTATCCGAATACTTCTCAACACGATCCTGTTCATTATACAGAAGCGAAAATTTATAGCTAAAACACATATTTTTTTTTAGATTGTTTGTTGGTCAATTTGGCTTAATTCCTACTTCAGGTATTAGACTTTTGGAAGAAACCATGCTCATCCCAATCACCGCATCATTTTTAGATATCACAGGCGGGAGTCCCTGGCGGGATCCCAGCAGACAGGTGCATCCACCCCTGTCTTCAAGCTCTGCATGTCCTCTTCCGATAGCTCGAAGTCGAAGACCTGCGTGTTTTCGATGATACGCGACTCGGTCACGGACTTGGGGAGAGGGACATAGCCCTGCAACAGGGTCAATACTACCGCAAAGAAACTCTGATTAAAAAAGAGGGAAAACATACCTTTTGCAAGCTCCACCGGATTAAGACCTGAGCGGGAGTCTTGCTGTGCTTCTTGACCAGACTCTGCAAAACGGGCTCCTTCATACGAGTGGCCTGCACCAAAGGCGAATACGCTTCAACAACAATGTTGCGCTTCTTCAGCCAGTCGACAATGTCTTCTCTGGGGCACCAGGGGTGGATTTCGTACTGGCCGACTGAGATCTGGCCACCTACGCCGCTGTTGATGTATTCCTCCAATTCGTTGAGGTGGTGGATACCGTAGTTGGAAACTCCGATGGAACGGACCTTGCCAGTCTTCTGAGCTTCCGCCAGAGCGCGCCAGGCGCCCAGGCGACCCTCTTTACCTCCAAAAGGAGCGTGGAGCAGCACCCTTGTCGATGTTAGTTGCCTGGCTTTTATATAGGGGCTAAGGGTAGTGATTACAGGTCGATATAGCCGATTCCAGCTGCATCCGCAAGGCTAGCTTCGATAGCCTCTTTAGCCTTTTCGTAGGACATGTGGCTGACGGGGACCTTGGTTGTGTAGAAGATCTTGGAACGGTCGATACCTGACTTGCGGATGGCCTCGGCGCATTCGGCTTCGTTCGCATAGTACTTGGCGCTGTCGACCTGTGGAGGTATCGAGTTAATTTTATTGTTCAATAAATTCAGAACAAGAACACCTTACATGGCGGTAGCCAGTTTCTAAGGCCTTCAGGGTCACCTTCTCGGTGATATCAGGCGGACTACACCGGCAGGTCAGGATTGATGCCGTATGCTTTGTTGGAAATATAGCTCTAGAGACTTACGTCTGGTAAACCTAAAAGCAGATTATAGTCATCAGAATCATGTTCTTCAGTCAAGGTCCATCCGACCGCGACTTACACCGAAACCAACTACAGGGATCTCATATCCCGAGACCAACTTAAGGGTCGACTGAAGTGATAGCGGAGCCATAATGTCGGTGTGGCCGTGGTGTTAGCTGTACTTCGTATAAGTGCTTGCTGGTCACTTTGGTCCAAGTGACAATTTGGAGGGGTAGATGTAACAGAACAGATGTTCGCCGGGCCCCTCGCTCCGACTATTTATTCCACAGTCTACCCCTTCCGGCTGGATCAGCGGTCCTGACGAGTGAATTAGCTCCCATGGCGTCTTGTGGATAACATCAACGTGGGGCTGCTCTAAAACGGCAGACCGAATTCGGCTGTTAGGTTTTCCAGGAATATGCACGGAAAATGATACCACACTAGGGGGTGTTTTCCAGACACCCGCGGAAAATAAATCCTTAGCTTATGGCCACATAAGGGGAGACTATCCACTTAGTAGTCTTCTAGAAGCTACTTGGAGGCATGGAGTATGCATAAAGTCTTGTCTAAATTAGGGCTTATGTATGGTTTGGGCGTATCAATCTTATCGATAACGGAGCCAGATCAACGCTAGACCGCTTTAGGGCGTGTCCCGCACCTTTCATCAATCCCACTCGGCGCCAATGATGCAAAACACCATCTTCTATCTTCTTTCGGCCAACACTCGCTGGGAGCTAGGTTAAACAACGAATCTCTACATAATATCTGCGCCTTTTATTCATTGCGTCTATTTTCGCTCGAAAGTAAATCGGGCTGAGGAACGAACAATCGCTGTCCCATCGCAAACGAAGTTAACTCAATTAAGAACCAACCCACACTTACTCTCTCCAGCAGCACCCCGCGCAAGATGCGCTTGATCAAGAACAAGGTTGAGCTTAACGGCTCAGGCACAGTCACTCTGTGCCCTGAAGAGCCCGAAGACATGGTAATCACTTGGACCTTTAAGCGATCGCATCGACCTAATTGCTGAACAAATTCCTTCAGTGGCATGCATACAACCTAATTCGACCCGGCGATCTTCTCCGCGCCAGTGCCATTCGCCGTGTTACCACGACCCAAGAGACTGGGTCTACGACATCCGCTAGAGTCCACCTGACACTCGAGATCCGAGTCAAATCTCTGGATTTCGACCCGCAGCTTTCCCAGCTGCATGTGAGTGGACAGATTGTGAACGAGACGCAACACACCAAGGTTGGCCAACACCATACGCTGGATTTGGAGTTGAATCGCAACTTTACGCTTGAAAAGGAAATAGGCTCGGACGGTGAAGGGGTGGGATGGGATAGTATCGCCATTCAAATGCTTAAGGATGCGGTTGACGAGGGCGGGAAACGCAGGGCGGAGGCTGTAGCCGTTGTTATGCAGGAGGGTCTGGCCCATATATGCTTTATTGGACAGTTCCAGACGATTCTGAAGCAAAAGGTTGAGATGTCAGTTCCACGGAAACGACAAGGAGGCAGTGATCATGATAAGGTGAGCTCGATATGTTTTTTTTTTTATCTCTCATGCCAACGGTCATGCTAACTTAGTCAGGGATTGACGAAATTCTACCAAGTCACGCTAGACACCCTTCTTCGCCAAATGGAATTTAACACCAGCTCTACCTCTCTCACCAGCAACGAGACCGTCCGACCTGTCCTCCTTGCATCGCCTGGTTTCGTTGCCGCCGGGTTCCAAAAGCACATCCAGTCAGTTGCAGCGACCAGCACACCCGCTCTGAAGCGTTTACTCCCGAGCATTGTGGTCGTTCACTCCGCCTCCGGGTACCTCCATTCCCTGGCAGAAGTTCTACAGTCACCCTCAGTCAAAACGATCCTCGCCGACACCAAGTACGCTCGAGAAACCAAACTCATGGACGACTTCCTGGAGCAACTTCGGAAAGAGACCAACAAAGCAACTTACGGACCGCGCGAGGTCGAATCAGCAGTTGACCAAGGCGCTGTGGGTCGTGGTGGCGGCGTGCTAATCATCTCCAATCGCCTGTTCCGGTCCCAGGATGTGGCCGAGCGTAAACGCTGGGTATCACTGGTTGACCGGGTGCGGGACGTGGAAGGCGGAGAAGTGCGTGTGCTCAGCTCAGACCATGAGAGTGGGAGGAGATTGGACGGCCTGGGGGGCATTGCCGCTCTGTTGACGTTTCCCATTGTCGAGGAAGATTACGACTCAGATGAGGAGCAAAGTTGAACATAATAGTAGAGATCCATTATAGTATAGACAAGGCTCGTGTATTGATGACCTCCCATTCGACTCTTCCAACATGGCTTGTGTAAACATCGACATATCGTTCACCATCCACTCATTCAAGTGACACCTTCTTGTCATTCCCTGGACTGTTTAAGAATGAGAAACAAACCCAATTACACCACATATACAATCGTCTCTGTCTCTCACTCGAAACGTTCATATTACACAACCAGCTGAGCGAGGCTGACAACCACGCACTCCTACACATTGTCTCCCTCTATTCCAAATACCCTGCGATGCACAGTCCGACTCATAGCCACCTGATCAGTTATCAACCGCTGAACGAATAGGCGGTCGTTCATGCCCGACGTTCCCACAACATGGCCCTGACCGCTCGAACAATTCGCCTGCGATGATTACACAGTGGCTTGAATTTGTGCACTTCTGCGCGAGCAGACGGTAACCAAACATGCCGGTTGGGCTCTGTACGAAACACAAAACATTCCCAAGCAACTTCGGTAGTCAAAGATTGATAATAATATCCGTACACTCCGTCATATTCAGGTATGTCATGTAGTCCTTGTTGGGTCATGCCTCTTCGTAATGCCACACCGATGTCAACCTCTGGTTATTGCACACCGGTCTGGACCTCCGAGCAACTATATGCGCGAGAAAGGGAAAAGCACTGGCAAATCATGACCCCATCCTGAACATTGTTAACGATTGCGGCGTAACATAGTCACCAAAGGGTTAGATGGAAGATGTTGAGACGTTGTACTATACTTGTTAGCAGTCAGGGAGATGAGAAGACACGGGACCGAAGTTCATTCTTTCAGTTTGGGTGCTGTTTCCATCCTTGGGTTACTGGACGTTGAGCTAGATCGAATTGAGGATGTTGAAGGGCTGTTTTGGAAAGCGCTCAATGGAAGGTTCACTGGTAAAGAACCTACGTGACCTCCAGATGGCGATACTCGACGGAATGTTTTCGTCAATAGGCTAATAATAACTCCAGCGTTGACCGCTTTTCTCTTCAAGTCTGGTCTAGCTCGACTGTCCGACCAATGCCGCCTCATGAAGCCCCAACGGTCTGCATACTAGAGACGGACTATGAACCCGTATAATAACGTGATCATATCCAAGTAGCAATCGATTCCCCAAGTCTTGTCATTGGCGTCGGAAAGCTTGTTAGCATGACCCCAAAAGAAAGTTCCAGGACAATTCCAAACCTGCCAAGCAGCAAAGCCCTAAACTTAGTATCTCGCGGGATTTACCTCCCCCAACCCTTCCAAGGAAATAGCAACGTAGAACCTATATCTCCCTCAACATCCACAGC